AAGGAAGGAAGGAAGGAAGGAAGGAAGGAAGGAAGGAAGGAAGGAAGGAAGGAAATAGCAATAGCACAAACTTAGACTTATATACCACTTCATAGTGTTTTCCAGCCCTCTCTAAGCAGTTTACAGAGTCAACCTCTTGCCCCCCAACAATCTGGGCCCTCATTTTACCCACCTCGGAAGGATGGAAGGCTGAGTCAACTTTGAGCCGGTCAGGATTAAACTCCTGGTAGTCGGCAGAATTAGCCTGCGTTGCTGCATTCTAACCACTGTGCCACCAAGGCTCAGGAAATGGTGTTCTTATATAGGTAGTCCCCAACTACCACATTTGGGACCAGAACATTTTGGGCACAGAGGCTGCCCTTCCAGCTCTCATCATTCTGGCATTTTGGGGGGGGGGGGGTCTCGCCTAGGGAAGTTGGGCCGTCACAAAAGGGGCAGGGCCAATTTTTTTCCTGCTCCTTTTTGGGTTGGAGGGTGGGTTAACAAGGTTCAAGACTGTCCAGACAAGAAGCGCAAGAAATCCCAGCTCGCTCTCTATTGCAAGATTAAATGAACAGAATCTCACAAGTCTGAAAGTCCCTTCTCTCTTTTCCTTTTACTCCCCAAGAAGCTAGGGAGGGTCTCTTCTGAAACGCTTCCCACGCCCCTTTTCCTTCCGTGAAACGAGCGAACGTTTGCATGATTGTTTAGTCTGCGGCACTTCCTGTGTCTCTCAAGGTCATTCCCACATATGTGCGTAGGGTTTTATTTCTTCCTTACTAGATTTATATCCTGCTTTTATTTTATGTGACTTAAGGTGCTATATAAATAATGCTTCCGTCCCTTTCCCCCTATCAACCAACCTATCAGTGGGTTGGACTGAGAGAGAGAGAAATCCCAGCTGTTTTCGATGCTTGACCAGCACCGTAACCACTACAACAAATTGCCTTTCACAAAAGGAAGCAACTTTGCTTCTGGGGAACCAACCCTTCCTGCCATAGTCCTCAAAATCCTTCACCCTAACACACCTTCAAGGTATGCCAGACACAAGATTTGCCTTGTTTGCAACCTGCCAGCTTTCTCTTGCTTCAAATTAAAACAATTGTTTGTGTTGTTATTATTATTATTATTATTATTATTAGTGTATGGCATTGTTACATTAGCCAGGAGACCACAATGCTATTGTGTGGTACAGGTACTCCTTGACTTCTTTAATGACCGTTCAAAGTTACAACAGCACTGAAAAAAGTGACTTATTACCAGGGGTGGGATTCAAATTTCTTAATAACTGGTTCTATGGGCATGGCCTAATTTGTGGGTGTGGCTTGGTAGTCGTGTGACTGGCTGGGCATGGCTTGTATGTAAATATTATAAATATTTATGTAAATATTGATTTTTTTTTATTTTAAAAAAAACGTTTACCCAAAATCAGGCAAAACAGGCAGGCAGATTGAGTTGCTCACATAATCACAGATTCACTCAGAGATCCACCTTTCTGCAATCTGCTGCCTGAGTCTGCACTGAAAAATAGAAGCTTCAGTCCTAAGGTAGGTTCAGCTCTGCTTTTAGATTAGCTAGAAAGCAAGAAATCCAACGATTTCCTGCTTTCTAGTTAATCTAAATCTCCCAGCACAGCAGAACCGCTGATGGTCAGGGGAGGAAAAAAGGAAAAATAGCAACTTATGCAGGCAAGTTAGAGGGCTCGCATGCCAGGTAAGGAGTGGGTGGACGGGGAAGGGAGGGGCGTTCCAGTGGCTCGATTTGCCGGTTCTCCGAACTGTGCAGAATTGTAACAACCGGTTCTATAGAACCGGTCCGACCAGGTAGAATTCCACCCCTGCTTATGACCATTTTTCACACTTGTGACTATTGCAACCTCCCCATGGTCATGTGATTTACAACTGGCTGTTATTTATGATGGCTGCAGTGTCTTGGGGTCACCTGATGCCCTCTTACAACCGTCAGACAAGCAAAGCCAGATGGGAAAGCCAGGTTCACTTAACAACGGTGTTACTAGCTTAACAACCGCAGGTGATTCACTTAACAAACGTGGTGGGAAGAGTCCATAAAATGGGGCAAAACTCACTTAACATTTCTCACTTAGCATTTTGGGCTCAATCGTGGTCATAAGTTGAGGATTGCCTGTAATTTGACTGCCGGCTCTGTTAGCCACATGCTTGTGGGCTTCCCAAGGTGTGCCATGAAGAATAATTATTGGAAAAAAATGGCAAAAAAAGCTGGGTGAGACCTGGTGGCACCAAAAACATGCCCACAGAGACTGAAATTCCTCTGTCAGAGGGTGCCCTCGTCCCGGAGCATTCACCATCTAACCTTGAGAAAGAAAAACTGCAGAGGTTCACCTGGGAAGCATTGAGTTTGGATGCTTTCCTTTCCCACGAAAGATTCTCTGCTCGGCTCTTCTGATACCTTCCCCCCCACCCCCACACACACACCAGATATTCCCCCAGAGGCTGCTGGGCTCCTTGTGCCAAGGGTGCTGTGGGCAGGTGGCTGAGCGGATCAGGTAGCCCAAGGAAGAGCTCTGCGGCTCAGGGCTGGAACTGGGTTAATTCCATTAAGCAGTTTGGTGACAGAAGGTAGGTTGCTTGGGGTGCGGGGAACAGAGGTCTTTCAAGGCTGAGAATGGCAGTGGATTAACTCTGCCCTCCCTTGAGTCATTAGAAGCAGATTCCTGTTGCAAGTGAAGGTGTCAGGCTGAAGTGGTTCCAAGATCCACCTTCAAAACTAAGGTGCTCTGGAGTTTGAAATGGGGAGTCCTCCCATGGTCTCTTCTGTGGTGTCATCTCCCTGGTTCTCTCTCTCTCTCCTTCCCTCCCGTCTCTTTCCATGTTTAGCTTGCTTTCCATTGAAGTGGAAGCCAAGCATTGAATCATAAATCCAGGGCTGTGAAAGTGTACACAGTCCCAAAGTCCGAGCCTTACAGAATGCAATACGGTGCCAAATTAATCCATGCCACATTACAAGCAGCAAAAGCATAAAGAGAGAGCCACAGTCATGAAAACAGAAATGGGTGGAATGACTTGGCAGGGGAGGCTTGGCCCCAAACTTTCTGTTTACTGGCAATGCTCAAAAGCACACAAATCCCACAACTTTGCACCGTGTGTTAGATGGGAAGACCTCATCTATCCTCGCATAACATGCCCATAGTAGCAATAGCATTTAGACTTACATGCCGCTTTACAGTGCTTTACAGCCTCTGGCCCCCAACGATCTGGGTCCTCAGTTTTACCAACCTCGGAAGGATGGAAGGCTGAGTCCACCATGAGCCAGTCAGAATCAAACTGCTGCCAGTGGGCAGAGTTAGGAAGGAAGGAAGGAAGGCAATAACACTAGTAATAGCCCTTAGACATTTACAGCCCTCTCTAAGCAGTTTACAGAATCAGCCTCTTGCCCCCAACAATCTGGGTCCTCATTTTACCCACCTCGGAAGGATGGAAGGCTGAGTCCACCATGAGCCTGGTGCGATTCGATCTGCCAAACTGTAGACAGCTAGCAGTCAGCAGAAGTAGCCTGCAGCACTGCACTCTAACCACTGCGCCACCGTGACTCATAATAGTCCTCATAGGCCACGGCTTGGCCCCTGTTCAGCTCTTCCTAAGAAGCCTTCTGGCACATGAAGAGAAGCACCAGTTGGAAGGAGGGCAGGAGGGAGGGGGTCCCTCAAGCCCCCAACGTCAGAAATGACCTTGCTGGCAGGAGATCCGAACACCTGAGATAGCGCCACTTTGAGATGTTCACAAACTGTTGCCAATCTCCTTGGGGCAGAAGAAGCTGTTGGCTAGTTGATTCTTTTCTTTGTGATTGCAATCCAGGCTGTTTGAAGGCAAGCTGCTCAGAAGCACTTAGGTTGCAGCACAAGTTCTCCACTCCAGACCTGGACCTCTTTCGGCAGAGCAGCGAACGCCTTCTGTCTGCTTGGGACCTCTGCAGAACAGCTGCCTGCACTGGCCATCCGGACAGACTTGGAATTCTGGGCCTGATCTAACAAAATGAAATTCAGTGTAGAGAAAAGTAAAGTCTTACACTTAGGCAAGAAAAGTACCCATAGAGACTGGATGAAACCAGGCTCAATAGCAGTAACCGTGAGAAGGATCTTGGAGTCTTAGTGGACAACCAGCTAAATAAGAGCCAGCAATGTGTGGCGACAGCCAAAAAAGCCAATGCAATCCTAAGTTGTATTAAAAGAGGGATACAATCGAGATCAAGGGAGGTACTAATACCACTCTATAATAAAGCCTTAGTAAGACCACACCTAGAGTACTGCATCCAGTTTTGGTCATCACTAAAAAAAACGGTGAGACTCTAGAAAGAGTGCAGAGAAGAGCAACCAGGATGATGAGGGGGCTGGAGGCTAAAACATACAATGAACGGTTGCAGGAACTGGGCATATCTAGTCTGTGGAAGAGAAGGACCTGGAGAGATGTGATAGCAGTCTTCCAATACTTGAGGGGCTACCGCAGAGAGGAGGAAGGGGGTCAAGCTATTTTCCAAAGCACCTGAAGGCCAGACAAGGAATGATGGATGGAAACTAATCAAGGAAAATTTCAAGCTAGAAATAATTAGGAATTTCCTAACAGTGAGAACAATCAACCAGTAGAACAGAGGTTGCCTTTGGAAATTGTGGGAGCTTCATCACTGGAGGCTTTCAGGAAGAGACTGGACTGCCATCTGTCAGAAATGGTGTAGGGTCTCCTGCTTGGGCAGGGGGTTGGACTAGATGACCTACAATGTCCCTTCCAACTCTGTTAATCTGTTAAATCTGTTCCTAGCTCAGCCTGCCATGGGACCTTCTCTTGCAAAAGTTGTTGTTATTATTATTATTATTATTATTATTATTATTATTATTATTATTATTAATATTATTATTAATATTGTTATTGTTGTTGTTGTTTTGTTGTTATTATTGTTAGTATTATTGTTATTATATCTTTAGTGAGATTCACAGCCTTTGGGGCTGGTTGGTAACTCAGCAGCTTGAGTCCTAACCAAGGACCTAGGAACTGTTCAGGTAGCGTCGGAGGATAGAAGCTGTTCCAAGTAGGGTGGTTTTTTGTAGAATCGGTATTCAAGTCTGATAAATTCAGAATTTCCAAATAGCAAGGTAGCCCTTTAGGGGTATTGCTCCAAGGGCTCCAATTGCAATTGAGATAACACATCATCATCATCATCATTATTATTATTATTATTCGTTTTCATCATCATCATCTCTGAATCTTGCACTGCAGCCTCTTCCTTCTTCTGTTTTCTAGATGGTAACACGGACTAAGAAAATATTTGTGGGCGGCCTGTCTGTGAACACCACTGTGGAGGATGTCAAACAATACTTCGAGCAGTTTGGGAAGGTAAGTGCTTTGGGTCAGAGCTGGGAATGAACTCTCCAATCCTTCAGTGTTGTGAGACTCGCCTCGTTTCCTCCAGGTGTTAGTCAGAGATTGGGAGCTCCTGCAATGGCTCAGCATCCTGTCAAACTACAGTTCTCGGGTTTCTGTGTTGAGGAAGGAAGAGCACAAATCCTAAAAGTCCTAAATCCTAAAAGCATCATCTGTTAGAAATTGAGCTATTTCAATGTACTTGCAGAAGCTAATATAGAGTCACCTTTCTATCCAGGTTGTCCCAAGATGCTTTTTCAAGAGGCAACTGGACTTTCTGGTTTTTCTTTGAAGATGTTTTGCTTCTCATCTGAGGAGCTTCTTCAGCTCTGACTGGATGGTGGGGAACGGAATATAAATCCTTCCATTCCCTACCATTCTCCAGTCAGAGCGGAAAAAGCTTCTTGGATGAAAAGCGAAACCTCTTCAAATGAAAACCAGAAAGCACCTTTGGGACAACCAGGTCCTGGACGACTGAGACTCTCCCTAGACAATCTCCGTAACATTCAGCTACCATAATTCCCGCTTCCCATTTTTTCCCTCCGCTGCTCATTCCAAACTCTGCAGCCTGGCACAAAATTTTAAGGATCCTGGCTGGAAAGACCCAACGGCACATTGCTGGCACTCAGAATTTTTGCAAAGGCCAACACTTCTGCCAGCAATGCCGTGGTGTTGCTGGGAGGCCAGAGCCAACTATCTGGGGATTCCTTGATTTTCTTGGGTAGTTTTAAGGGTTATGCCTAAAAGTCCCACAAGGCCTGCCCGTCCCAGGTTGCTCAAGGCCCTCAAAGGGGGTTCTGGGGGTTGTGTGTGTGCCCCACAGCCAAAGGTTGTCCACCTTAAGAGGGTCTTGGTCTAGGCAAGATGATTTCCTGGAGAACCCAATTCTATCCTGGGTCTTCTTCCCTCCACCCCCGTCATGCCCCTCCCCTTTCATGATGCCTATAATTTTCTGCCTGGTTTTTTTAGGGGGTGGGTGGGAAATCTTCTGCTCCCCTTTCTTTCTGAATCCTGCAAGATCACCTGGTGACTCCAGGGATCAAGGGTTTCATTTTGAGGTTTTGTTGTTCCACAACCATTCTCCGACTCCATGCACGGCTGGAAGCTTTGAACATTTTTGTTCTTGGCAGTTTATTTCATCCATTACTTTGATTTTTAAAAGGATGGATAAAATAAAAGCATCACCCTTCATTATATGGATATTTGCAACAATGTACTATAAAAAGTCAAGCAATAATAAAAAAAAAGGAACTGTTCGCAAGCGACAGATTAAAATGGTAGCATTAAAGCCATTTTTTAAAAGTTTAGAAACTTGAGTCCATCGAGGTATTTTGGAGCCAAAATTATTTTTTGAGGGATGCGGGGGGAAACTGTTTCCCTAGTGATGGCCTGCCTCCCTTCAAACATTTGGAAGTTTTTAAAGGAGCCTCTCCAAATTTTTTTACCTGGAGTCCTGCTTTGAAATTGGGCCCTTATTCTTTGCATCGTGCTTGGGACCAGGATTAGAGATCCACCGAGCAGCATCAGTTAACAGCCTGGTAAGCTGCATTTTTGAAAAAGATTAATTTTTATTGAATTTTTCTTTTTACATGTCTCAATCAATATTAAACGTTTTCAGACAATGTAGTGGGCCACCTACTCGCAATGCCAACCCAGGGAATTGGCGAGCTGTTTTCTTGACGAGGTGTCTTAGTAGCCATCTTCACTCTTTCTGAGGAGGTGGGGAGACAGGTCTTAATGGGCCTTTAAGCTGGGTCAGTGTGAGCCCCCCAGCTGGGTTAAAGAGGGAGGCTTGAGCTGGATGCTGCGGGAAGATAAGATCTCGACTCAATAGAATGGGGAAAGTGCTTGGCTGGAATTGTCTAATGGGGTTTTTCTTTTGTGAGGGAGGAGTGAGGACAAGGAAGGATCAGGATGGTGGATCCCTCCCCCCCCCCAATGGTTCCCCCCATCCAGTTTATAATCTTCAATGTACCTGTTTGGAAATAACATTACTTTCAAGTACGCGTTGTAAAGATCTTTGGGCCAGATGTGAAAGACAGAAAACGTCCTTCAGAGCTGCCCTCTCAGAGTATTTATTTCTCTTTTCTTCCTTGCCCCCCTCCCCCTCTCTCCCCCCCTACCCCCGCTGCATTTTATACATCTGTGGGTGTGAATGAAGACTGGGTTATTTGGGGGCCTCCTCCTGCCAAAGGAGGAGCACTAAAAATGGCCAAAAAAATATGAGGGCAAATGAAGTTTTGTCTGCATTCAGGAATTGCACGAAGCCCTGGCCTGGTGCATTCGGTTCCACTTTGGCAGGATGGGTTTTCCCCAGCCACTGTGCTAAATATATTAATCAAGGTTTCTAGCTTAGTGTGATATGAGGACCATCACGGGTTGGTCTGTAGATGCTCAATAGACCGAGGACACAGGTCAAGATCTGCATTTTGAAAGGTGAAAAGGGCCAGTTAGTGACCAGGAGTGGAGGTCTTCTTCTCCATATTGGGCCTAGGCCAGGGGTCCCCAAACTTGGCCACTTGAAGACTTGTGGACTTCAACTCCCAGAATTCTCCAGCTGAATTCTGGGAGTTGAAGTCCACAAATCTTCAAGTGGCCAAGTTTGGGGACCCCTGGCCTAGGTCATTCAAGCACCTCACTGGGAAAGTTTGTTGTGCTGAAAGTTTGCCCTAGACCTGCTGCCTGGCCAATTGCTGGTGGAGGTGATCTTGCCTACGTGATGCCTGGCACCTTCAGTTTCTCTCCTGTTCCCCCGAAAAGCTTTCCTGGAATGAAGTTCTCTTGACCACTGGCTGAATCCTGCTGGTGCCCCAACCTTCTTCTCCGGCCAAAGCCGTCGCTCCCTTGCAGTGCAGGACACCAAGGATTCCGGGGCTAAATTCTCTTCTGTGACATTGCTTCCACAGAGCTCCTCCTTCTGTGGCCGTGGATGCCCTGTGGTCAGTAGTTGGCACTGAAGGGGCACTTTCGTGTCCCAGCACCCCATAGATCAAAGGTACAGATACAGTGTGTAGCTCCCCTTCCCCCCTTCTGTCTTCCAACTCGGGAATCACAAAACCAGCCTCATCCCCTCTTTACTCTCTTCACGTAGCGCGCCCAAATACTTTTGTAGATCAATTCTCATTCTGTGTATAGTTAGACTTAGATTTAGGAAAAAAAAATACATCTCAGTTGTTGTTTTTTATTTTTCTTATTTCATCCTTCCCCTCCACTGTTGTGCTAATTTTTTGTTTGTAGCTTTGAAAAATCACAACGTAGATTGCAGAAACCCATATTTAGCAGCTGTCTATCTGCATACTTCCAAATTATAACGGTCCTGTTGAATTAATGTATAAATAAATTGAGTGGGGCGGGGAGAAGGGGGAAGCAGTTTGCATATATTTCTTCCTCCCCGCCACCAGAAGATTCCAGGTTTGTTGCTGCCAGAAAGTTCAGGAATCTTAAAAACCTGTTCAGCCTTTTCCCACCAATTGTTTCTAGTCCTGAGTGATGCACAAGGTGCTAGGAAGCCACAAATCCAACCTCAAGATGATTCTTCAGACCATCTTTAGATCTCTGTCTCCTCCAGCCTTGAGGCTTGTGCCCCTCGCTCTAGCATTCCAGATACTCTTACCAGCCTGGTCCCCAAAACCTCCTTCCTAAAGGTGAATTCAGCTACTCTTCCTCTTCTCGTAAGAGTTGGAGATGAGAAACTGGGACTCAGTGCATCCTGATTGGTGGTTTACCTGCAGATTTAGGAGCTGGCTGGTCTCCTAATGCTGCAGAGCTTCAGAGGTAAAAGGTCTCTTTGCTGCCACCTGGATTTTTTTCAATCTTCCATCGTTTCCTCCTCTTAAAGGATGTACCAACAAAGCTGATCTTGCATTGCCCCACAGGGAGCCTCTCTGTGTGCTGTTGGGACATTTTGATTTCCTTTCCTCAGAGTAGCAGTCTTCAACTTTGGCAGCTTAAAGTTGTGTGGATTTCAGCTCCCAGAATTCGTGACTGACTGGGGAATTCTGGGAGTTTGGTCCCACATACCTTCAAGAGTTGAGAAACGTTGCACAGGCTCTCGGTCAGAGCCATGGATCTCAGAAACCAGCATCTAGAAATCACTGCTTGGGCTCCTTCCGCAAAACCAAATCGCTCGAAATAAGCACAACCCAAAGGGTGCTTTTTCCAAAAGGCAACTGGCCTTTCTTGGCTTTTTCCTTTGAAAATGGTTCACTTCTTTCTTTTTTTTTAATTAATATTTTTATTTTAAATACAAATAATACAAACATAATACATATACTTCTAAATACAAAAAAAGAAAAAAAGAAAAAACACAAACGTTACAGTACCCCCGGAGACCATTTTTTTCTTATAATTCTATAACAATTAAAAGATTTACTATATATTCCAATTGTGCCCTTATCCCTTTCAAAACGACATCTATTCTTGAGTAGGTTTGTTCCCTTTGCCTTCCACCAACACTGATTTTATAAATTTCCCCCCTATTTCATTAAAATTGTTTGCTTTAATCATCCCTCTTTAAAATTTAATTTCTGTTGTTAATTTATCATTTGTTGCTTTGTATTAAGTTGAACCGAAGAAGCTTCTTGAATGAGAAGCAAAATATTTTCAAAACAAAGAACAAAAGAGTCTGTCTGCCTTTTGGAAAAAGCACCCTTTGGGACAACCATGACCTGGATGATTGAGAATCTCCATAGACGGAATAAACTGAAGTTTCAGCCATTTTAGATATTAGATTAAATGATGCTTTATTTATTTATGAGCTGCAGTGGCGCAGTGGTTAGAGGGCAGTACTGCAGGCTACTTCTGCTGACTGCTGGCTGCCTGCAGTTTGGCAGTTCGAATATCACCAGACTCAATGTGATGACCGGGGCATGGCACAAAAATAACAAAGTTACAAAAGTAGATAAATTCCTTTTAATACTCCAACTTGGCCTACAATTTCCAGTTATCCTCGGCTGGAGATCAAACTCTTCCAA